AAGCTGCCGCACAGAGCGTGGTGGAGCGGGTGGGGCGGGGGCGGGCGGCGGGGTGCGTTTCAACCTTCTGTCATGGTTAAAATCACTGTCAGTAAGAAAAGAAAAAAATAATCAACTTCACGTAGAACTAAATTTATGAATTATATACATAGATGAGACGGTCGGCTCAGATGAACCCATCCTATGACACGTTCAGTAAATATTTACAGTTTAAGATCAGGATTACAGATTAGCTTCATTTCTTTGAGGAGTTAGTCGTCAGCGCCGTTCGCCTGAGACGTTTCGATTTCATCGCCATCGACCTCATCAGATTTATCCACTTCCTGAAACAGAAAAACAAACACCGAGCGTGAGCTCATTTCTCTCCTCTGAGTAAACGAACAGCGTTTGGGCGCTTTTTAAAAACACTCGGCACCTCGGTCAGCACTTCCATCAAGCCTTTGACGGTGGACATCAGGGAGCTGGCCGACTTGCTCATCAGCTCGTAGTAGATGTTCTTCTGCTCCGTCGTGGTGCTGAGGGTCTCTTCAGTTTGGCTGAGGGTGGTTTTCACCTCCTCTAGCTCCGTGGACAGAGCTTTGTTCACTTGCTCCAACTCAGCTTTGACCTTTTCGCTTTCCTCTGCAACAAAACGCACAAGACCAAGAATCAGTGACTCAAATCAGAGACTAGAGGGAAACAAAGATCATATGACTCGTAACAAAACAAAACACTAATATAAACTAGAACGACTATGGTATATGAAACTTCACTGCAGCTGAGCAGTTAAATGTTTTTTCATGTAACCCTCCTGTCGTGTTAGCGTTCCCGGTCAAAATAGACCTGACTGTTTTAACTGCTCTTAAATTATGAAATTAGCTAAAAATACATGCTGAAATGTAGCTGAAATGGAAGAACAAGCCTAAATTATATGAAGAAAGCAGAAATAATATCTTTTCCCAATTAGACTTAAAGAAGCAGAAATGAGCTTAACAAGTGGAATTAGCTGAAAAAGGTAAATTAGCATAGAAACAGCTGAATAGTAGCTGAAATAGCAGAAAAAGCTTAAACTTGCTGACAAACGTTGAAAAGAGCATAACAAGCTGAAATGAGCAAAAAGAAGTTAATTAGGCTGAAAGTAGCAGTATTTACAAAGAAATTATTGAATTTATCTAAAAACAGCGGAAATTAGCTTAAAAAAATTCTACAAATCTAGCTGAAAAGGTATAACAAGCTTAAATTAGCATAAGAATGCAGAAAGAACACGTTTGCCCAGTTAAGCTGAAATAAATAAATAAAAGCTGAAATTAGCAAAAACAAACCAAAAAAAAAAAAAAAAACTGCCGAAAAGTAGCTAAGGCAGCTTAAATTATAAGGAAGTGGAGAAAGCACATTTTTGCTGAATTAAGCTGAAAAAGGTGAAATTAGTGCAAACAATGTGGAATTAGCTGATAATGCTCAAATTAGTCATCAGATATGGAGCATTAGAGGTTTCTGTAAGCCCAGCTCATAGGTCTACAATTTGTTCTACTGCACAGTTCTGATCTACCCAAAACAGGTAAGTTACTGACTACTCATAACCACTCCACGTAACTCTACTGACCCTCAAAGCTCAGTAGCAGACATTTATGTTTAAATTGTTTCTTAGGTTTGCCTGCTCAACTACCTACATTAATAAATAGGATTATTAATATTGCTCAACTGTGTAATGCTTTTAAAATATGTATGACACAGCCAAAAAAAAATCTAACTTAAAGGAAAGCTGTAGGAAAAATGTTTGAGTTACGGCTCATTACTGTTACTAAAATATATCAGGCTTCTTTTGACCTCTTTGCACTCCTTTAGATCTGCTGCTTCTTGGTTACAAATATCTGCTGAGTTAGCCTTTACTGAATGCTGAGTCACTATTTTCTCAGTTACAGCTTTTGTGCGTTTTTTGAAAACCTACATCCATCTACTGGATTTTATTTTAACCGTTCATGTCAAAATGTTCAGCTCGACTTCTGCTATGACTTTTAGTAGTTGGAACTTTTACAGTTCTTGGATTATTTAATCACAAAATATTTACCCATAGATGTCAGTTCTTGGAAATCTACTTCAGCTCACTTGCTCTGTTTTCTGTATTCTTACGCTCCATTTAGGTTTGAGCCACAGTTTTGCTGATTTAAGCTTTTGTTCTACTTGTTTTAACTTCAACAACTTTCAGTAAAGTCAGTCAGCTCCATGTTCACATTGTTTTCACAGAAAATACAATTGCTCTAGTTTTTCACCAAGTCAATCAATGCTAAACTTCATTTTACACCGTGTAAAGAGAAAAATAGATATATTTATACAAGATAGCATAAAATATAATCTGGATTATACCCCTTTGTGCATCCTGTGCAATAAGCCTCTGCTCGATCTCCTCTCTCGCTCTCTCACTCCTCTCCAGTTTCTGCATCATGCTGCCGACATCAACCATAGCTCCGTTGTAGACGATCAGGTTACTGGACTCACTGGTCTCTGGCTGAGCACAAGCTTTCAGAGCAGGAAACAGCTCTTGGTTACCTGACGGGAACAAAGAAAGGACAGCTTGCTGTCAAGACCCTACACTTTAAAGAACGTTTTATAATCAGACAGGAGATCCAGGTTAGCTCACCTAAAGGGTTTTCTATCTGGGCTTCACTAAAGGAGGGAACAGGTTCGTCCTTCCCCCTGTCTGTCAGCTTTCTGTAGTAACAAGTCTCTTTGACAAGAGGTTTGTTCAAAAGCATCTTGACCTGAAAACAGAAATGGACGCGTCACTTGAACTAAGCTGAAATTTTTTTTAAAAGGTGAAAAGGCTAATCTGACACCTGAAGACTGAGATGAAGAGAACCAGATTTGTAAAAGGAAGGTGTAGAGGTGTTCACCTGTGAACGGGAAAGCTGCAGACCCAGTGTGTACACGAGGATCTCCAGGTCCCTCTCCTGCAAATATCCACAGTGGCACTGGTCAAAGTAGACAAACGCCATGAGCAAGTCCTTGTCGTGCGTCACCATCTGCTTTTTCTCCTGATGGAACAGAAACAAGTTTTAAATCTGCAATCGTCTCATCGACACCTGGATTATAATCCTGCAGGAAAAACAAGCAAACCTTGTCTTTGGAGGATCTTTCTTTCGACGACCTGCGCTCATCTCTGCGGTCTTTTCTGTCTCGGTCGTTGGAGTCGTCGTCGTCTTTGAGAAAATCAAAAAGGAATCAAACTGCATGATTGACACTAAATAATCAAACTGAATGTTTTGTGTAAAATGTCTGGTATGAGTTTAACAAGGCGCATGGATAGAAAATAAAGTTAGGTATGAAATACCATCATCTTCATCATCCTCTGCGTCTTCAGCCTCCATGGGGTCATATTCCTCAGCATTAGTTGTGCTGCCCTCATCTTCATTTTCCTCGTCATCTCTAGGCTCCTCCTTTTGGAAGATTTATTTATTTTTTTAAAACAAACTTCACAACGTTGAACAATAACGTGCTAACAAACCAAAAAGGTTTGCAAGGTTTACCTTCCTCTTCTCATCTTCGGTCTTTTTTGCTGCTGGCTCTTCGCCCTCTTCTTCTTTATCTTTTATTTCACGCTTTTCAGATTCTTTCTTTTCTCCATCTTTTTTCACCTTCTTGTCCTTCTTCTCATCCTTCGCAGGAAGAGCAGCGAGGGCTTTATATATTCGATAGCCGAAGTCTCTCTGGAGCATCTCGTTGAACAGTTCAGCAAACAAGGAGATCTGTGCACAAACGGGGCAGCGCGCCTCGACTCAGATCGGCGACAAACGGCTGTAATCCACCATTTAACAAGCGAGCTGAGAAAACGTCAGCAGAAAGAAGTCTCACCTCAAACGAGTGCTCCTTGTTGTCTTCTAGTCTGTAGTCCAGCAGCACGCTCAGAGACATGATGCTGCAGTCAAATTTACCGTTCTTGGCGGCCCAGTTGGGGTGCACGAGGATGGTGGACTCATCGGGGAGGATGAAATGTCTTTCTCTCCTCTGACGCTCGATTTCCTCCATCTTCTTTCTTTCCTCCTCCTAACAGAGAAGAACACACCAGATGAAGTCCAAGAACTATTTCTGGTCATCTGCTTCTCAACCACAAAACAAATTAAGAACCAGAAATGTTTTAATTCATCTTATTTTCACCTGGAACTGGGCTGTCAAACCCACTAAATTTAAAACTTTTTTCAAACTAAGGGCGAATTAACTCAAGTCAGATACTCAACATCTTTTCTTGGTCACAGGTTCCTCAACAAGAGTTTGATTGGTCTCATATGATGTTCTCTGTTGTGCTTTCAACACCATAATCAAATATTACTGAAAAAATTCAAGAGATAAAAGTATTTTACGTTTCACGTGTCATCTTGGGGGCCAGAGAAGATGCCAACGAGGGCCACATTTGGCCCCCGGGCCTTGAGTTTGACACATATGACCTAGAACATCCCAGAATAAATCCAAAGAAGGCTAAGCACACGATTAACACCCACAGCTACAGTTTTCTGCTCTCTTGACAGGTTGACAAAATCCCAGGAAATAAAGTTGAGGTGATCTTTATTTTGTCTAGAGCTGTCAATAAATGTTTGTGCTGCTGTTTAATAAAATAATCAGCTGTTGAAGAAAATAAATAAATAAATAAATAAATAATAAAGTTAATGGGAATCTTTGACCAGACTCACAATGTGACAATAAGTCTAATTAGGCAAACAACAGCATGAGCTGGTATAACATCTTGTAAGAAAGCTGAGTAATTATTACTTGTGATAAATATAACACAGTTGGACGATGACAAATGGCAACCTGAATCCATCGGTGGTGGCTGTTGATAGGAAAAGCTTTTTTTATTTTTTATTTATTTTATCCTATTTATTTTCCCTTTCAAGAGTTTTGACCTGTAAACATTTATACCAACTTAAATAAAAACCTGGATGTGCTGCACTTCACTCTGATCAGCGAGCTCAAACTTTCTGCCAGGTGTCGGTGCAGACGACGATGTTTTATTGTCGCGCCGTCTGTTCAAATTAGCAACAAGTTCTTAAGTTGTTGGTTTTTTTTTATGACTATTTTGAAAGAAATATTAGTTTTAAGAAAAGTCACCAGTCAGTTTATCATAATGTAGGCAACAGTAGCAAAAGAAAACAAGGAAAATACATTTAATTTGTCCCTCCAATGTTGCTTAAAGCAAAATATTTATTGGGGACTGCCACTGCAATGCATGGAAGGCACCCATTATTCTACACCTAATAAACGTTTATTTTTCTTACGTCACCGTTAATGCAGCCAAACCACAACATGTACACCCACAAAAGTTTTATCAAAACGACCAGCTCGATCTTGAGAAGGGGGCCATTACTTTTATTGACAATCAGAGTTACTATGGTGACATATTTTGCTAACAAAGATGCTGTCAAGTCACATGACTGAGAGAGGTCCCTGAAGAAAACAGAAACTCACCGTTGGATTTGTTTGAAACTCACAGAAAGTAATCATCTGATAAATGTCTAGAACTGATTAATGTTTGGAGCCATTTTGATTCAAGATGGCTGCCACAGCAAACACAAAATCGACTGTAACTCGGTCATTCTTTGAAATATTGAGCTGAAATTTAGTATGGTTGTAGCTGGGAGCAAGTTGTTATACATTCCTAATGCAAATTAAATACCCAAGATGTCCGCCTTAGCTAAAAGAGAAAAAAATATGATAACGCTGCCATTTTTAGAGCTATTCAGCGGAAACTTGGTATAGTGGTAGCTGACAGCGAACCCCAACACACAGCACTGTCACATCAACAATTTTAATCGGCAGAAGCCTGGCAGTCCCCATCAAAGTTTCTCCAGGAACTTTGTAGTTTTATCTTTTTTATTTTGGCTGCTCCATACCCTAGGGGTTGTCACAGTGAACTAACTCACTCGGCTTAAAGTCATAATAGTTGTCAAAATATGCTATTTTAAATGTTTTGAATTAAATACTTACACAATATTTGTAATAAATGAGCAAAATCAGCAGTCATATTTTGTTGACAACAATCATGAGTCATTTGTTCAGAAAATGTTGTTGTTTTATAATGCTTCCTTTTTTTTTTTTTTTTTTTAACATAAAAACCTTGAGCTCAAGTTACATTAACTCTCAATCAATTATTTAATTATGTAGAAACTGTATTAGGAACATAACATTTCAAATAAAAAAAATGCATATTTAGACAATAATTATGGCTTTAAAACAACTTAATGGCTCTAAATTTGAAACGTGGACTCAATTTATTTTAAAGGGAACATCCATCCATCCATTATCTTTTACTCGCTTCTTCCATTTTGGGTCACGGGGGTCGCCGGTGCCCATGTCCGGCAATCACTGTGCGAGGGGCGGGGTACACCCTGGACGGGTCGCAAGCCCATCACAGGAAACAACACAAAATAATAATAATAATTTAACGATCACAACATAACAGCTTCCACCTGTGCTTAATAGTGATAAAACCACAAAAATCACTAATATTCAGTACCTCTCGGTCATCTTCAGTGCGAACTGGCTCTTCTTCCTCTACAACTTTGCTCTCTGGTATTTCTGGCTCCTTGGGCTCCTCCACCACCTGCTCCTCCACCTTCAGTTGCTTGGTGAGGCGAGCAATAAGCTGCGATTTTAAGCCTTTTGAGCTCAGAGAGCGGCAGTCGAGTTCTCTACGCAGTTCATTTACCTAGACGACGAGAAAACAAAGCTAATTCGCACGTTGAGCCTCGAGTCATGAAAGAACCACAACATCTGGTAACATACATTTGATATAAAAAGTCAAAATATTTTAGACGTCGTTGTTTGTTCTTGTATCTCTATTGGTGAAATATTTTTTTTGTCCTGAATGTTTACCTTCATTGATTTCGGATCAAGTTTAGTCCAGTGTGTGGGAGTACTAACATCCTTTGACACAACTTCATCTTTATCTTCCTCCTGGACAGAAAGCCATTAAGACAAGAGAGAGGCAGAGGGAGAGAAGAAGTAAAAATGGCTGTCAGCTCACGACTCATGGCTTTAGTAAACTTTAAAGCTGAACCGTGCAAGAAGCAAGGTCTCATGTGTCTTTCATTGTCTTTGTCCTAGTGAGCTCGACTGTGTTTAAAGTCCACTGCTACTGAAGCGTACACAGGGAAGCTCTCTAGTTCTTATATCAAAAAATAAATAAATAAAATAACAGAAATGCCTCCCAGCAGCCAATCAATCAATCTGTGGAACACAAAAAAGGTAAAAATCAATGACAGGTGTGTCAAAAAGATGTGTGGGTACATCAGGTAAACTGGAGCTGGCCTCCAAATGAAGTGAGGATAGGGTAGCCCTACAATGCTCTGACTGAGGTACTTCCATTAATGGGTTTTATACACCTACATCACATAGAAGCCATCTGTCCTGGAAAAACCAAATTCTACATGTAGTCCAAATGAAAGTGTAGAATTCAACAATAAGAACAGACAAGAAGAAGAACTTGGGGGAGGTTCTCTTTTCGTTGTCAGGAGACATTAAAATGATACGGAAAATCATAAAAATACACATTTCTACAACAAACGTTATGTGCACACAACTGACTCCACAGGTTCCAGCACTTTTTTTGTTTGTTGCAGTGTTAAACATTAACCACTGGTTTCAAGTTCCAATTTGTTGCATATAATTTAAAGGACAATAAGTAGATGCAGGGTGAAATAAATGCTTTGCAAAATGCAAGGATTAAAGTGAATTATAACAAATTAGCACCCAATCATGTGGCGTTTTAAAACTGGAATCTGTTTTATCAATTGTGACTGGGGCCTACACGACACAACACAACCTACGTCTCACTGCTTCCCCTGTATGTGTCTGCTGGATGTGAGGGAGGATGGAGGTGCTGATGGAGGAGCAGAGGAAAAGGGGGGCAGGTGGAGGAATAAACAGAAGTCTAGGTGACGTTTGGAAGAACATCAATATGCCTGTGTTCATTTTTGTGTGCATGAAAGGTGAGGTGTGCTTTGTGTCTGCTGTGTGTCTGGGAGTTTTATTTTTTTATTTTTCCTGTGCCTTCCTGTGAGAAGCGGAAATGAGAAGAGAGGGATTAGCGGTTCAGTGCCTGTTCTCCATCCGCCTCCTTTCGCTCGGCCGACAGCTTCTCAGCCAGCTGCTCCTGGAGTCGCCGTGACAGCACCTCCCACTCTGAGCGGGTAGGAAGACAATGCCAAACATCCGGAAGAAACAAAACCACTGTCTCCACATGAGCAGGGACTGTCCGCCCCTTGTGTGTCTCCTCTGGCCGATGATAGCGAATCTCTGCAAAACGATACCTGTCGCAAAGGAAGAGGGTGCATTGGAAAGAAACATTCTGGTCAGGGCACAGTTTAAAAGGCAAGCCTTTCTAAGGCGAGCCTTCTACAGCTACTCAGTCCTGTCAGGTCACTGAACGACTGCAGAAATCTTTACATTGACCCTGATCTCGTACAACACACAGCATAGACAAATGGACCCAGTCAGCAGCTCTTCATCTGTTGTCACAGGTTATGGCAGCCATTTTGCAAATGGTGACACACGACAACAACAACAAAATAAAATAAAATCACACGCCAGATATCCTCCCAGTTATTGTTTCAGCCAATTTACACATGAACATTCTGCGTTTAACCTAGAATACACTTAATGCACGACGTTAGAGTTGTGCAAAGAGAGACAGAATCAACAGGACATTGAAAGCCAGTTAAATATATAAGATATTTAACACAGAAAGTAGAAAAACATGAAGAAAAAAATGTAATGTCTTCTGATCCAGGCTACTGCTTCCAACCATCAAGTCCATGCGTTTGTTTTTAATTACAGCAAAAGGCATGTGTATGAGTAGTCACAGAAAGAGCCAAATCAACTACACACAGAAGTTCTCCCCCCAAAAAACCACACACAACACAACACAAATACTAAACAATAAACTGCAAATTAACCACAGCATTATCATTAATACAAAAAGATATGAAAAATTCAAAATGTCCAGCAAAGATTTAGCAATAAATTATAAAATAATCTATTACTTATAGTAAATTTGGGATTAAAACAACATAAATAGGAATAAATATTGATAAGAGTGCTTACCACTGTGTGCACAGACTAAGGTCAATGCCTGTGAGTGCCTTGCAACAGCGTATGGCTGTCTTAATAAGGACCGACGGATCCTTCTCTGGGTCTTCTCCATCCAGAGAGGGAGACCAGTGACCTCCAATGGCCATGGCCTCGTCTTTTCCCCTCATGCCCACCAAAAACTGAAGAAAAAATAAATAAATCAAAGGGCAGCCAGAGAATAAAGGTTAGATGGAAATGGGGAATGACAAAATACCTTATTTTTCGCCCAATAATCTTAATTTACATGCTCTGTGACTTATACGCCGAAGCAACGTACCGTATTTTCCGCGGTACACGTCGCACTGCCCTATAAGTCACATCTATTGTGCGTCACCGTTGACGCGTTGCATTTGTTAAGTGTCACCGCTGACAATCCGGAAATGTGGACCGGTGTTGTGCCCAAAATCGATGGGCTGCCAAATGGCGGTCGCGGGAGTGTTAACGGGAGGACTTTAACGAGAATTTAACAAGATTAACACCTAAAAAATAATTTTTTTGTTTGCTAGAAATTATAGTAAATGTGTGTCTCAGTCTAACGTTTGCTTAATAAATGCACTTTGATGGTTAAATCAGCTGTATTTCAAAAGCCGATACACAGATGTAAACGTGTGCACGCGACGAGTCGCTGTGCAAATTTAACAAGGTAAACACCTAAAAACAATTATTTGTTTGCTTGAAATTAAAGCAAAGGTGTGTCTCAGTTGAACTATTCCTTAAAAAAATGCACTTTAATGGTCAAATCAGCTGCGTTTCAAAAATAGTTTTGCTGCCTCGGTGCTCCGTGAACGCGCAGAGGAAGAAAAAAGGGAGAAGGAACGCGGCTCGTTTCTCCGAAAATTAAGAAAAGCACCTAAACAATTATTTGTTTGCTTGAAATTATAGCAATGGTGTGTCTCAGTCTAACTTTTGCTTAATAAATGCACTTTAATGGTCAAATTAGCTGCATTTCGAACGGGGCGGTGCAGCTGCTTTCACGGTTCCAAGCAGCGAGCAGAATGAAGGTGGGGGGATTATGGCAGGCCGATTGAGTCACTAATAGCTGGTGAATATTCTCAGTCATCCAGGACATGGTGAATTAAAAAAGTTCAAGAAAAAAACAATACAATACAAAACAATAAAGTATAATAAATAAAGTCCAGTTGTTTTTGTCTTGAACTTTTTTGAATTTGTCATTAAAGCCACGTTTACCTATTACGTGATACAACAGCATGCCACACTACTATTACTACTCTGCTGCCATCAAGTGGCTGAAAGTGGTACTGCTCATTTTTTTGTTTCAGTCAGAATCAATGAAAATGGTCATATCCCTGCCAAAAATTGGTTTATAAATATGGGGGAAAAAATCCATAAATACCATATTTTTCAGCCTATAAGTCGCAGCTTTTAGCATAATTTGCATGCCCTGCGACTTATAGGCTGAAGCGACATATTTATGGATTTTTTCCCATATTTATAAACCAATTTTTGGCAGAGATATGACAGTTTTCATTCATTCTGACTGAAAATATTGAACACCACCATTTTCAGCCGCTAGACGGCGCTTGAGTAGTATGGCACGTCGTTGTATCATGTAATAGGTAAAAGAGGCTATTAATGACACAATCAGCTTGCCAAAGCCTGCCACCGTCGTCTGCCTGGAGAAACTGTCAAATTAGCTTCATTTTGCTGCGCCGCCCCGGCAAAACGCAGCTGATTTGACCAGTAAAGTGCATTTATTAAGTAAAAGTTCAACTGAGACACACCTTTACTATAATACCGAGCAAACAAATCATTGTTTTTAGATGGTTATCTTGTTAAATTTCGAAGAAATGCACAGCGAGCCGCCCTCTGCGTGTTCATGTTTCTGCGTATCGGCTTTTGAAAATGCAGTTGATTTGACCGTCAAAGTGCATTTATTAAGCAAAAGTTAGACTGAGACACACCTTTACTATAATTTTGAGCAAACAAATAATTGTTTTTAAGTGTTAATCTTGTTAAATTCTTGTTAAAGTCCTCCAGTGCATGCTCTCGTGGCTGCCACTTGGCAGCCAATCCATTTTTGGCACAACACCGGCCCACATTTCCAGGTTCGGTCCACATTTCCGGGTTGTCGGCGGTGATGCATAACAAACGTAACGCGTCAGCAGTGACGCATAATAGATGCGACGTATACGGCGAAGCAACATATGTATGGATTTTTCCACTTTATTAGACATATCTGGACTGATGCAATTTATAGGGCGGTGCGACGTGTACGACGGAAAATACGGTAGGTGTTTAAAAAGGTGGAAATGAGGCGAGGGGGATAGAGACAAAAGGCAAACCATAAAAGACAGGAGGAAGAACAAAGTCATACCTCTAAAGATCCACAAGCAGGTGAGAAAACACTCACCAGTGTTATTTACACAAGACAGCTAACATCAGCCAGGAAATTTCCACATTGGAAGTTTTCAGCAATGGAATAGGATTAAGACATCACCGTCAGCCCCTGTTCTTTGTAAAAGTCTAAAAACGGTTTGACATGCCTTAATGAGTCTTGCAGGGTGCTGGAAAGAATCCCTGACTTCTTGGGGGTCTTCAGCCAGAGCACAGGATCTATGATAGAGCTCCTCTAAACTGGGGTTAGCTAGCAGCATCACCTGAAAAATTAAAGATTGATTTAGGAACAAAACTCTTTTAAACATACACTGCTTTTAATTATTCTGACAAAAAGTGAACCCGTCTAGTCACAATCAGCATTTTGATGATTTTAAGTTCCTTACATATTCAAACCAATTTATCCAATTTGTTTGTCCATGCACAGAAGATAATGTGCAATAAAAAGTAATAATTTGTTGAAGCACCCGTCTTTGTTGCAGATGAGACCGTCTAATTCCTACAGTCAATCTTTTGCAGAAAAATAAATAAGCAATAAGTTTGTTCATATTTAAACCTAAATACTGACACATTTTGACCAAGTTCTGCTCCAGATTTATTATATTAACAATCTTTAATTTAATAATGGACTGCAGCATTATTTTCTTAGTACTGGAAAAAATATATATATATTTTTAATAATTTCTGCAACGTCAACATTTAACAAAGAATAAAAGCTGTCCCATCTGTTTTTCCAACAGACAACAAGTTTATTACTACCGTACCTTAGCGCTGTAATTATGATTAACATCAGGAGGCTCCAGCACAGCAGTATTTTTGACAAGAGGACCCACTTCTTTATGCAAAATGTGGAAGTTACAGGTACTACTAAACGGGAAGGGCCTTGTGAGAGGGAAGGCATCCACCCAGGTAAAGGCTGCGTTAAAAAAGTCACTTGGAATGTAGAGACACGGATAACGCCTTCTCAGCTCTATCAGGTCACAACTTGGGCTGGAAAAATTAAAAAAATTAAATCAGCAAAAACACTTTATATATTTGTGGAGTCTAGAGATTTTAATCTAAAATCAGCAAAATTTTAAGGTAAAAACATTTAAAAATCAATGACACCTACCCATCTAAGCTGAACTTGGAAAACTGTATAGTGTAGCGGGGCGTCGTCCTGCGAGGCCGTCTCGGGGAGCGGTCACGTCGTGGTGATCTTGAGCGTTTGCGTGTGGGCGAGCGCTCCCTCGATCGCCTTCGTTCACGCTCTCTGTCTCTGCTAAAGAATCATCCAATCGTTGACTAGCGTAGGCACATTTATGAAAAAGTGATCGCGGTCAGCAGCTAAAATCAAACCCAGCCGTCCTACCTGCGGTCGTCTTTAACCCTGAGGAGAAGCTCAGGGGCGCGATCATTCCGAGTGGGGAAACGAAGTGGAGGCTCGAGTCGTCGAACAGGCAGCGGCTGTGGCATCATTCTCACCGGGACCTGAAGCAGGCCACCAGGAAAAACATCTGGGAGGAAAAAAATGTTTTTTAAATTGTTTCAGAGAAAGTCCTTTTTGTGATAAAACGTGTCAGAAATGCTGCGTGTTGACCGTTACCAACTGACTGAATGAAACACGACTAAAACAGGGTTCATTTTATGTAAATGTACTTATACAGCTATATATTGTTGGAGTCAGCCTCCCCACCATCACAGAGATCTACACCTCCAGATGCAGGAAAAGAGGCACCTGCATCATGAAGGACCCCACTCACCCAGCACACACACTTTTTGCCCCGCTCCCCTCAGGAAGGAGGTTGAGGAGCATTAAGTGTAGAACCACTAGACTGAGGAACAGCTTCTACCCTGAGACTGTTAAGACTCATGAATCTCTAATCAGGATAATCACTGTGAAAAATCACATCATGTTGCTGCTGATCTGTTTCATGTTGCTGCTGATCTGTTTCATGCTGCTGCTGATCTGTTTCATGTTGCTGTGTTCATTCGTACTCAACTGATCACAGACTCATGCTCGTGCTTATGTTCGGTGTACTGTTTTTATGCTATTAGTGCTTAGCGTAGTTAATGTTTTCTTAGTTCATATCTTAGATTTTATTACTGTTTTTCTTTTACATTGTATTGTTGGATGTAATTGGGACCTTGTGTACAAAATTTCATTCGACCACATGTACCACATGTGATGCGAGTGACAAATAAAGAACCTCTGACTCTGTTGAGCCAGCTAATAAAAAGTGAAGACTTATTCAAATGTGAAAAGAAATTTTAAATATAAAGCAGCACAATGCCAGAACATATAAAGCTGTGACTTTACCTTTGGGTGGAGGTTGTGGAAGCAGAGGCTGAGGAGGGTTTTGGAGGAGGGGGGTCAGAGAGGTGGCAGAAAGCTGAGCCTGCAGGAGAGAGGGTGGGGGAGCCTGGGGTGGAAAACTCAAGGTGGTTGGGGGAGGTAGCGACTGCAGCATGGCAGGGGTTGGCTTTATCATGTTAGGAGCCTGGGGCTGGCTCTAGAAGAAAGAAGGATAAAAAAAATGTTCAAAGGCAAACTTGAAAAAAACTTTAACATTCACAGAACTGCACAACTACGACAGAGCTTTAGGGCCACGCTAAGAAAAATAAAAACAAAAGAAACATTACAACATTACGAACGAGAATAAAGTCATAGTATTACAAGAATAAAAACGTCCGACAATAAAGTCATAATATTACAAGAATAAATTTGTAGTATTACAAGAATAAAGTCATAATATTATGAGAATAAAGTCATAATATAATGAGAATAAACTCATAATATTATCAGAACTCTGAGATGAAAAAGCAGTCTTACAGCAGCGGTAAAATTATGAATATTGGTGTCGGCAGTACAATAGCAGGGTTCCCAACGCACTGTGGCTTATGGATTCTTATGATAAACTGAAGCCATATGGCATTGTAATTAATGACTGCACTGACGGATTTAGTCGTGACATTATGTGGATGGAGGCATATTTCACAAACAGTGACCCAAAAGTGATGGTGGACTACAGTACTTCATAAACACAGTGACTCGCACTGGAGACTGTCCACAGCAGGTCCGAACCGACCCAGGACGTATTATGAGTTTATTCTCGTAATATTATGACTTTATTCTTGTAATACTTCAATTTTTTTCTCGTAATATTTCGAGTTTATTCTTGTAATTTTATTACTTTTTTCTCATAATGTAATTTTTTTTCTTAGCTTGGCCCTAAAGCTCCATCGTACACAACCTAACATCCTAAGGCAAAAATAAAATCAAACTATAATTTTTTTTTAAATGATCAGTTTTTCAAGGTAAGAACTTAAGTAACATTAGTTTGTTTTCTGTACAAATAAAAAAACCTATGTTTAGAAAATATAAAAGAAACATTATAACAAAAGTTTACCTGTAGTAGAATAAAAACAAATGTGAAACAAAACCAATATCAAACAAGTATTTTTCAACAACAGAGACTAATAGAACAATAAATAATTAAATAGTGGTTAGGAATGGAACAGTGAGTAGTATTCAGACGATAAATCAAGAAGACCTGAGTGCTATAATGATTATAAAAATATACATTTCATGACCAGGGGATTACATTTTGTCTGTTGTCTCCAGTGGAGTGCATGTCTGTGTAGCGCAGCTGCATCCCTGGCTCATTGTACAGGCTGCTGAGCTGTGGGGTTGCTTGAGGTAAAGGCGGGGGCTGCTGCTGATGCTAGAAAGGATTGAAGACAACATCCACAGGTCAGAAAGGTTAAAGAGACAAGATTAAATTTGAAAAATAGGGCAAAAAGTGACGAATCACATAGCTGTATAAGTAAATGCCCCAGAATATTGATTGTACTGTATACTCATAACTGAAGTAATATATTTTAATTTCCATCCCACAAATACCTTTGTAGAAAACAGTAAATAAATCTTACTAGTTTATTTACACAGATCAATCAAGCCACATGAACTGAGGCAGACACACGAACAGAACACAAACTAACCCGACCAGTTTCAAACAATCAAAAGATGGTTGCATTTATAATAAATTTTTTTTTTTTTTTTTTTTATCTATAGTTCACTTTTTGTGCAACGCAAAATCCCCCTAAATAGTTGGTAAACAGTAAGGGACTACAAAACATTTCTTTATAAAAGTAGAAACTGATTTTTTTTTTTTTTGACTGATATGAAACAAGACTGTTTGAATAACACTGTAAAATAGTGTATGATAAGGTAAAAACAACAACAAATAAAAGGCTGACAACTCGAGCAGAAATTAAGCTTTACTTTAAAAGTTACATGTATTTAGTTGTAGAACCTCTGGATGTTCTCACCGACTGATTTGCAAGCTGAGGTAAGGTCTGGATGCGCTGGGCGTTCCACTTGAAGGGCATATTTGGGTTGTACACAGCTTCCACCAGGACTCGGTCACCGACCTGGGGAGTCTTCCCTTTCACAGCACTGTGAAAGATATTAAAAAATAAATAAAACAAAGAAAAGATAATCAATGATATATTACAGTAACTCAAACCGTATGAAACTATATTAAGATGCATTGAATGCATTTAACTCCCCATTCACCTGAGCTGAAAGAAGACATCTTCATCTACAAAGCCGAACGTATCATGCAGTTTATTGACCACACCAGTGAAGACTCGTTGCTTCTGTGGCTGCTGTTGGTGGCTTGAACGAGGTGTTGGATATGACACAGTAATCTGGGCTGTCTGCTGGGGGTTGGACAAGCCCAGGCTGGTGGGCAACGCAACGGGGGGCTGAAGGACAGGTAGACATTAAAAACAGATCATAAAACAGACTAAATGTAGGACAAATTGATTGGGTGGGGAATACTGCAAGAAAATTAAAAGATACATTTTGGTAGCCAACTTGACTCATTCTTGAATTAAACACGAGAAAACTGACCTACGTTTAAAGTTTATACATTTAATTTTAAAATGTATTTACCTGAGAGATCAGAGCCTGCTGAGGCTGAGGAAGCTGTGAAGTTAAAAGAAAAGAAAAAAATGTGACCATTTCATTAAACTTCAAGCAATCCTCTGAATATTTTAATGACATGTAAACGTGATGCTAACTGAGTAAATAATGGTTTAAAAACATTCAGGATTTAAATAATGTACAACTTATAAATTGAACCTTAGAAAGGTTCGAGTTTGACAATCTTTTCGCTATTTTGACTCACTTATTTTCTAGTAAAGATGCAACCCAAAACATGAAGCCACATGATGTCTAAACTGAGTAATATATTTTAATCTAAATGCAAAGTGTGACACAAAAGCCTTTTGTCCACCTGATGAGGTACATTGTACAGTTGCTGTTGAGGGGGTTGCTGGGGAGGTTGTTGCTGCTGCTGTTGTTGTTGTTGCTGATACTGCTGGAGCGCTGTATTGATCTGAGACTGAAGACATTAAAGAACAAATGGGCAGTCGATTAAAGTGTCACAATGACAAGATGCACAGATTGCTGCCTTAGGCGCAACACTGCCTGCCTGACCTGCTGTAGTGCTGCTGCTGCAGCAGCCGCTGCAGCTTGCTGCTGCAACGCAGCGGTTTGCTGAGACAGCTGATAATTGGCTGCAGATTGGTTGCTGAGGGACGCTGCAGCCAAAGCTGACTGTTGAGAGTAAACAGAGGGAGATGCTCCCAAAAGAGACGGTTGCTGCACCCCAAGAGCTGCATGGGTAAAAGAAAATAGAAGTACATATTTTGGCATGTGATGTTATCCTGGACATGTTATTGTAAAAGAGCTTGTGTTCACTTCAAGATTTATTTTCTTCTAAAGACTAAAATGCACTTTTAAAGTAAATTTAATCCAGATCATCGTGCTTGCTTTACTCACAGTGCAGACTGTTGAGGTCAAGGGACTGTCCTGAGTGGCCTGGTTGAGACACCGCTGTGGCAGCAAACTGAGTCGCCCACGGCGGATTTTTCTGTCCCCCGAACTGGGCCATGGCTCATTCAGGTTCAGGGCAGTCTTTACTCACCAGGCAAATGCTCTCACTGGAAACATAAACACATTACATCAAACCCAAGGTGTAACGCTCAGTGCATCCGAAGTGCAGATGTTCAGTTGTTAGAAAACAAACAGTGAAGTCTAAAACAGAATTCATCAAACATGGTGTTGACTCAGCGTTGTGTCCTCACAATCATCAACTGTATAATAAATACATTTAACCATTCAAAGACATCTTTTGACCAATATTTTTTCACAATGACCTCACAAGTCATTACCATTGACTGACTTTTGTGCACAATGAGGGTGGATGATTTTTTTTCCAAGTAGTTTGAACAGTTTTAGTTTGTTTAAAACAATGATAAAATATCTAAAAATCTAAAGTGAGGCACATTTTTTGAAGTCATCACTACAGAGCCAGCATTTACACTGTAGAGAAAGCTGTCGAGAGTTGCCTTGGAAACTGTTGTAACTGTGCGCTTTGGCTGTAAACAACAAGAACAATTATGCATGACAGCAAACACAAACAATACAAAGAGTTAGTCATCTCATTCATCTGGACACTTTTTGTTCTGACAAGAACTAAAAGTACAGAGTTATGTGCAGTTGGTTAAAAGTACTTTAAAGCTGTATTTAAAGAGAAACTTGTTTCAGCTACAAAAGCAAAACAAAATACTTGTGTATGTCATAGGACAAACAAGTATGTTGAGTTAGTCATGAACAAAATAACTGTATAAACCACCTTATCAAATATATTTATTTGAAATATCGCTGCCCCAGAGACACAGAAGCAACAGAACACAATGCGATTTTTAAAAATGCTTATACTTTTGAGTGTTTTTCTAAATTTTAAACAAAAAAAAAAACCCCTGTCTATTTACACTTCGCCAGTCTATTTTATTGACAGTACAAGCAGAGGAGGGTGCTGCTGAAACAAGAAGAGTTTATCTTCAGTGCAGGGCTCAGCCTTTTAGGTTCATTTGAATAAAAAAGCTCTGAGGTGGCCAGAAGGCCAGAAAGAAACAAAACAAGAGGCGAGGTGGGAAAAAAAAAAGGAAAGCCATAAAATCCTTGTACGTTTCCTCTTTCCTACTGTCACTGCCTCACTGTAAGTGGAAGCACATGTTTGGAAACTAAACTTTTAAAGTGAGCTGTTAACTTGCTTGTTTATTTCCTTTTTTCATTTCATCCAAGCGGCTGTGTTAATTTTCAGAAAGATAAGACAGAACTTTATTGATCCTGCAGAAAATACAAAGGATTACTGTACTTCTCAAAGAAGTATGTAGTACATATTTTTTAGGATGTTCCACGAGCTGTTCATTATATTTTACCAGGAAAAATCCAATAAATCCTATAAAAACATTGTGTTCCCTTGTGTTAGTATTAGTAATCAAAGATGATTGTGTGTAATAAAAACTTTGCTGAAATTCTCTATTTCAGTTCGAGAAATTAATTTTTCCCTGACGAGATGCTCTCAAACTCACAGTATGACTGCATATGATTTAATGGCTTTATTAAATGTCTATAATAGACTTCTGCACCCAAATATTTGTTTTTATACGTGTCCTCGAGGTTCAATGGGATTAACCTGTCTAAATAAAGGTAGAATGAATGAAACAATGAAAACTTAGGTGTCATCATAGTGTTTTAATTTATAGATTTAAACTGTGCCCTTTCGACTTCCTTTACAAGATTGTTTGGACAAGTTTATTGTAAATACATAAACTGCTGGTATTGTACTCTTTATTACTATAAAAGTAGCTGTTTTTTAATGTATTATATCTCACCAGACAGCTACGAGGTTCACCCCAATAAGTCAGTTGCAGCACGACACAGTGATATTTTGCCATTTCATGTTAACGTGATGTTATTTAGTCTGCATAAAATATATACATTACATAAAAACGAAACATACACTGGAACAAATAGAAATGTGTACGCTAAAACCTCTGTTATCAAGAGCTTTTCATAACCAAGCAGCTGCTGAAACTGCAGCAGCCGCGACGGTCAGTCCTGCTAACACGTTAGCCACTTGACAGATAGCTAACGCGAGCAGCTAACCAATGCATTTTTACAAGATAAATGTTTTACTTGTGTAGTCTGAGGTGGTTGAATATGAAGTTTTAAATTAGATTCTGACTTCATTATCACAGTTAACACACGTTCGTAGCTCCAAACAAATTAACCTACAGCATTATTCATTTAAAGCAGATGGCTAACTGTTAGCATTTTTTTAGCTTTGTTGCCAGATTAGCCTCGTGCAGGTTTGATATCTAGATCAAGGCCCTCGGACACTTAGACGTGCATGACCAAAGCTAAATTAACTAAATAAAGCTCAACATGAATGACATCACATCCTTTGCACATTAGAATCTAAACGATGCAAATTCACAATTAACTTTCGCAACCGTAACCTGTGAAATTACAAATTATTAACGCCACTCACCGCTGTGCCCGACTCGAGTCTAGACACGAAATGCGCATGCGCAATACAGGGAATCGGATCAAAGTTGAACTCTTTAAATTAGGAAAAAAAGATTAAAAACATAAAATGGAAAATATAAATCACCCTTTGAACAAAATATTGTTGTTTACCACACACTGAGAAAAAACAAAAAAACAACCAGAAGTGACAAGAAAAATAATGAAGCCCTGAGAATGGAGGTGGTTTCATCCAGTCAGCTTTAATGTGATACAGTAAATCTAAATAAAACTCAACAAACCATATAAACAACTTAAATATATCATAAGATGTGACACTGTAACCTTACTTTTGCTTAGTGAATGCTTGTAGCCCCATTTCCAGTTCATTTTAGTATTAATTGATGTATTCACATGTAAAAACTGTTTTGTTATCATAGGTGTAAAGTAATTGTCAGTGAACTGTCAGATCATCATATTGAATGAGACTAACCAGTGTCATGAACACTAGCAAAATCTCAATCTTAAGAAAATATTTCGGAATAACTATAAGAAATAAATACATCAACATTTTTAAATCCACAACATAACACTGTAGTTTAGACAGAAAACAATTAATGCATTTTTTCCCCACACAGTATATAATGTTTAATGAATAAAGCATACAGTATATACATTTAAATTACAGATGGATAATCCAAAGTATGGCGATAAAAAGCGTGAAACTATTTTCTCACTTCCTTTCAGTAAAGTATTATAATTCTCTGCAGGAATAACTCGTTGCCAGGAGTTGTTATTATTACTGCAAGATATGTGAGATTGTAGATTGAGAAAGTTCTTAGTCTTGTAATTTTTTTTCCACTTCTTCAAAAACCTTTGCATTAATGTCATCCACTTCATCTTCTACCTGGAAAAAAACGACATAAAATGTAAAGTAAAAGTCATTAATGATATTATTATCGAGCTTTTCAACTACAAAAACTAAACCCAGATTTAAAAAAAAATCCATCAAGTTTTCTCTTAGATGGTTTTATCTATTGTGTCATATTTTCTTGTCAAAAACAAAAAAACAAAAAAAAAATTCTCCCACTAATTCTTTAAGAAAAGCCTAATCTGAAAAATAAAAAAAGCTAAATTTCACCAATGTCTCTTGCATATTATGAGTTAAATATTCATTAAATACTATTCTGAAAACAGCAAAACATAGTCTTGCAACTAGCATCTAATACCTCAAATAAAACAAAACAGAGATGCAACAATCACCTGCTCCACTTTGTTCACTTCAGGGATATAAAACTGCATCATGTTCTGAATGCCGTTTTTGAGAGTCACCGTGGAGCTGGGACATCCTGTGCACGATCCAACCAGCTTCAACTTGACTGTGCCGTTTTCAAAACCTTTAAAGATGACATCACCTCCATCCTCCTGCAGTGTAGGTCTTTGTGAAATACATAAACCATATCAGTTAGTACAGAACAGAGCAGCACAAAGGACAGATTAACAAACTTATCTCAATACAACTATCTGTAATGGCGTTTAACATCTTGCAAGTTCTGAGCAAAAAGTAACCAGAAGAAAAGCTCTGAACATAATTTAAATTTGCATTTTTACTTTGACATTTTTGTACCTAATTCTGGTGTCCAAAAGCTCCTTTATCATTGATACAATTTCATCATCATCTTCAGAAAAACCTGGAATGAAAAAAGTGAAAAACATGGCAATATTTACACACGTTTCAGTTTTAGAAGCAAACTCGGCCAAACTGATTACTCACTGCTTTCGTGGTGCACTGTTCCTGTTGTTATCGGGTCACCGCTCTCAAAGAACTTAGCAATAGCCTCTCGAGCTTGACGCGTGATGTCTGTCCACTCCACATCCTCGTCTGTCTGAAAGGAAGACAAACCTCTCATATATAATCTCTTACTCAAAGTTTTCAAAAGGAATAAAACGACTGGAAGCTGTAAAAGTGCATTTAGTGCTTACTTTAGTAACGGTGATAAAGTCGGGGCCAAAAAACACACTTTTCACTCCTTCAATTTCAAACAGGTCCCTGAAAGAAACACAATGCTACATAATATAGGAAAAAACGCACCACAATAAAATTTGTGTTTTGACTTTATTTAAACATCAATATGATTAAAAACTAATGTAACACGAAACGAACGCACACATTCATTAAAAATAAATTTTAAACAGAAAACAAAAGTTTTCCCTTTCTCTTTCACTTAGCATTGATACATAATTTATGAATGAAAAAAACTTTTGAAAACTTATTTTTGTCTGAACGAGACAACGAGAAGTCTGTGCTTTCACACAGAGATTTGATTATCATGTCTGTATCCTAAGATCCAAGAACACTGCAAATGTTCCCTTCAAAACTGGTGAAACGCATATAAAAGAGCAATAAAATGATTTTTTTTGTGATGCAGCCAAGTTCTTGGTACAACATAAAACTGAAATGTACTATTTTTATATCACCAACAGTAGTTACACTATATCAAAGATAAGTGAATTTGTATCTAGAAAAACTTGGCACACCACTAAAAATTTGTATAAAAAAGGGAACCAATTTCTAAAGAATACATTAAACATCAGCAACTCCAGAAAGATTGGAGATGTTGCTAAAAAATCTTTAAAAAATACAAGTTCTGATACTTTGCAAGTAAAATACAAAGAAATGTTGGATAACTCAGTGCTGCATGCACACACACACATACATACACATACATACATACTTTTGTAACAACCTGCAAATAACAACCTACAAATTGTACTAGATCTGTTGTTTGTACTTAACTGCATATCACACTCAAAAATGAGAAAACTTTAACCAAAAGCCTTCACTTTTATTCATAAGACAGATGTCAAGGACAAGTTTCCATTTCATGAAATGTTATAAAGATTAAAGTTGATTGATTGATCAGTGTGTTTTTTTTTTACATGATAATAGTCATAAAACAAAAAAGTTCTAACTGCACAAGTTAATTTCTTTCAGCTGCTCCATTCTGCAAGGGTTGCATGAAAGATTTGGCAGTTGTTTTATACTGGCTGGCCTTCCTGATGCAACCTGAGCTCAAACCCATCACCTCAGGATTACAAGACTGTGGAACTGCCCACCAAGCTAACACTGCTCCCCAAAAGTTTAAACTACATACCGCAACTTACGCTGACAGTTATACTGACCTTAAGTGCAATGAAACAGAGCAGTAAATTTAGAGACAATACCTGGCTAAAGATGAGCATCCAGCTGAGCTCGGGGAAGGAAAGTCAAGCGTCCCATTTCCTAGAACAGATTTACCAGGAAGGAACTTCAAGCTTCTTGGGTTTGGGGTATCTTCAGTCTGGATGGATGCTGAAAGACATCACAAAACCAGCTCATTGGAAAATTGCATATTTAGATTTATGGCAACAATAATACTCTGCATGCTTTATACATGTGAGCAAAATAAAAGGTGTCCAAACACTGATTTCTAACATGTAATGTTTGTAGCTCCTGTCCCGGGCTGAGACTGGACTCCTCTGAAGTTCTGGGTTGTGAACAATGAGCTGGATGAACCTCTGAGATTTTCTGGGAACCACCTAAAAACATTAAAAAAGTAGAATTAAATTTTGTTATGTGTCCTTTATGCTTTATGTGATCAGTGAAAGCATTTTACAGTTAAGTGTATCAATAAAAGTCTAAAAAAGTTGTCACAAAATTGTGAACTCCTCATTATGTTAGCTAATGCCAGCTACAGGCAAGAGGTGGAACACCTGGAGAGCTGGTGCAAAGAGAATAACCTTCACATCAATGTGAAGAAGACAAAGGAGATGATTGTGGACTTCAGAAGGAACAAAAACACCTACACCCCCCTGAACATAAGAGGATCTGCGGTGGAAGTGGTCTCCAGCTACAAGTACTTAGGTGTACACATGAATGACAACCTCAACTGGAGCAACAACACCACCAGCCTGATCAAGAAAGCTCATCAGAGACTCTACTTCCTCAGACGGCTGAAACGAGCTGGTCTGGGAAGCTCAGTCCTCACCTCCTTCTACAGGTGTGCAGTGAAGAGTCCAGCATCAATGTGTGGCATGGAGGCTGCACAGCTGCAGAAAGAAAAGCTTTGCAGAGAGTGGTGAAGGCTGCACAGAAATCTGTTGGAGTCAGTCTCTCCACCATCACAGACATCTACACCTCCAGATGCAGGAAGAGGGCCACCTGCATCATGAAGGACCCCACCCACCCAGCACACACACTTTTTGCCCCACTCCCCTCAGGAAGGAGGTTAAGGAGCATTAAGTGTAGAACCATTAGACTGAGGAACAGCTTCTACCCTGAGGCTGTTAGACTCATGAATCTCTAACCAGAATAATCACTGTGAAAAACCACATCATGTTGCTGCTGATCTGTTTCATGTTGCTGCTGATCTGTTTCATGTTGATGTGTTCATGCGTGCACATCCGCTCACACAGACTCATGTTCATGTTTGTGCTGATGTTCAATGTTTTATGTTATGAGTGCTTAGTGTATATTTAGTTGATGTTTTTCTTAGTTCATATCTTAGATGTTATTACTGTTTTTCTTATACATTTTATTGTTGGATGTAACTGGGACCCTGTGTACATAATTTCGCTCCACCACATGTACCACATGAGATGCGAATGACAATAAAGAAACTCTGACTCTCTGACTAATGTTTAGCAAATAAGTTAAATACCTTGGATTAGGACAAAAGTCAAAAACTTAATTACCGTAAAGTGCCCAGTAATTCTCAGTCGAGTCATCTGGACAGTTTATTTTTATAGAATATGTACAATAAATATATATGTAGATTAAATAAGTTATAATATGAGTGGTAAACAGATTGTTTGTTTGACAGTTTAATAGCTACCTAGCTTGTTGTTAGTGTCATAATAACGCGAAAAAAAATTGTTTTACGTATTTTAAAAGCAATACAACTCACAATATCAGTTTGTAAAAAGCTGCATCAAATGATGTGAGACAGATGAAAAGAGTCAAACCTAAAGTGAGAGGTGTTTTGAGTCCGTAACAACTGCCGAAATCCCCATCTCATGTGCGCCGCCATTTTGTTTATTATGAATCCGAGGACCCCGAGTGGTCAAAAAGTCACGTACAGTCACGTAAAATCACGTAAAATTACGTAAAATTACGTAGAAAATACGTATTTCGCAACCGTAGTCGTCCTGAGATGTACCTTTTCTATTTCAATTCCAATAAAAATAAATAAATAAAACTTTTGTTTGTCTTAAAATAAAATTTAAATTACAATAAGCATAACAGCTGACTAATGGAGAAATCAGGAGGCTGCAGAGAAATGTGTACTAAATTGTTTTCAAACCTAAATACTCATTCTGTGGGTTACAACATTATTAGTTTTTGCAAAAGTTTAAACCAACAATATTTTCCACACTTCTGAAGAGTCATATATTTTTGTAGGTTTTTTTTTTTGTGTGGGTTTTGATCAATTTATCTACTGTAGGCCTATTTTTAAAGTCTTTCACTGTACGTATTGTCTTTTTTTTTTCCTTTGACTAGTTTATAAAACTAATTTTCTGTCTGGTATTTGTGAATAATCATGACAACGTTTTGCGCAAGAAGAAATATCAAAATTAGTGAGGAGAAAAAAAGAGAAGTGTCAAGCCTAAAAGTGTACAGTAAATGAAGAGTCTCTGGAAAGTCTGAAAGGCTACAAAGACTAAAAAGGAAAGCATCCAGCAAATACCTTTGAGATGAATCATCATTCAGTTGATCAAGTTTTCAGCTCAAAGCTCAGTGAGATCATCGTGTTGGTGGTAAAATTTAATTTTAAGTGTTAAACTGGATCGCCTTTAGTGCCAGTAGTTTTCTTGGATGTGTTAAAGTAAATAAATGGGAAATTGTGTCTTAGTGACAGGTTGCTGGTACTTAAGTGTCCAATTTGTTGCTGTTTGTTAGGTGTAGGCACAACATACTGTGTGTTCATCTCATGAGTCTATGAAGCCTTTTAATGCCTGAATGATTCATGAGTCAAAGTTATGTGTTGTAATGAACAAACAAACAAAAATAATAATCTGAAAATGATCAGGTAATGGATAAAAAATTTGAGAGAAAAACAGTCAAAGCAAAACAAACAAACAAACAAACAGAAAATCAGCAGAAAGTCTAAAAATCTTTTTTGATCAAGACACCTTAAAAACAACCTATGACTTCTTGGGAGTAAAAAAAAAGAGAGACACAAATTATTTTTACACATGAACATGTAACATACTTATGGAACATGACCATGAATAAATATATATATAGATTTGAAGCTCTCGACCTTGACCTCTCTAAGTGTCTTTAAGAATCTGTTGGACACCTGGCAGGGACCAATGCAGACATGTTCCTGTTGTTAGTTTTCTACATTTGTCTTGGAATCTAGCTGTTTTTTGTTTTGTTACCTTTTCCTTTTAGCCATCCTATTTGTTAAAAAAAAAAAAAAAAAAACTGTAGTATGCTTTTTTTATAATTGTTTATTGTTGTTGCTGTTGTCCATTGTTGTCATCTTTCTTTGTTGAAATCAGGTCTCTTGTAAATGAGTCCTCGAGGCTCAATGGGATTTACCTGTATAAATAAAGGTTGATTGATTGATTGATATATATGTATATATATGGATGGATGGATGGATGGATGGATGGATGGATGG